ACAAGAACACCCGCGTGTGTCCACCTCAATGCTGTGGAGGCTGAAGTTGCCCAGCCCCTAGGAAAAAAAAAAAAGGAAAAAAAAAAAGGGAAAGACAAAAAACAGAGTTAGGGTTTGGGGCAGGAGCCAGGAAGGGACCTGTTCTCACCTCCAAGGTCCTGGGGGAGGCCTAAGGGGACAACAAGCAATCTCATCCCACTCATGGTGGGGTGAGACGCTCCTAGCACTTGCGTTCTATAAAGCAAGCTTCTGCCTGCGACAGCAAACTGCTGGAGAGCTCCCATCTCACCTTGGTTTTTGTTAGAAGTTAGGGTTTGGGGCAGGAGCCAGGAAGGGACCTGTTCTCACCTCCAAGGTCCTGGGGGAGGCCTAAGGGGACAACAAGCAATCTCATCCCACTCATGGTGGGGTGAGACGCTCCTAGCACTTGCGTTCTATAAAGCAAGCTTCTGCCTGCGACAGCAAACTGCTGGAGAGCTCCCATCTCACCTTGGTTTTTGTTAGAATTTGGTGCAAAGCCTCTTTCTGCCGAGGGGCTTTGGTTAAAACATAAAGGAAGCCACCACCGCCAGCCCCAGCCAAGCACTGCCCGTAGACATAGGGCCGGAGAGCATCCATCATGCGCCCGACAGCCAGCGGCTCACACCCGGGGGCCATGCATTTCTTCTGCTGCCAGTAGCAGTCCAGACATTTGCCGATGAGCGGCAGGTTACCTGCAGGGGAGAGGGTATCGCAAATTATTTACCTCTATTTCTCTCCCCAGGGGAGGGCAGAAACCTGTCCCTGCCTCTCCTGCTCAGCCCAAACTAAATTCTGTTTTCTCATCTACCCAATTCCTCCCAGCTCTGCCTGCTGAGCAAGCAAACCCAGCCCTGTCACATTGCTGTTTATTTTTAATCCTCCACAGAGGGAGAATTTGCTTGAATACTCCGGCTTCCCCTCCATGGCATTCCAGCAGCCAAACGAATCCATGGCACAGACTAGGCACGGCCCCCAGCCCCACCACAGGTGGCTCACAGAAAATCAACCAGCCTCGGCATGTCTAACCCTCCCTTCCTCAAGTCTTCACTCAAACCTGAATTTTGAGGGCATTGCCTGTAAAGTGCCAGTTGGCCTGGGGGTAAGATCTGAGGCTTCTGCAGCTGCAAGAACCTGCACGCCCTCCCCAGCTTTTTTGCCCCTCCGGGACTAGACTCTCCCCAGAGAAGTTTGTGTTTCTTCAGCAGTTAAAAGGGCCAGCTCACACCTTGCCTCAAAGCCTGGGCACACTCCTCAGCGTTGCTCACCAGCGCGTCAGCGTTTTGCACGGTGGAGGGCAGCCTGGCGTACCAGTTCCTCACCACGTCCTGCAAAGAGGCCAGAACGTCCCTGTCACCATCCTCCTGGCTTCACCAGCACCCGGCGAGGCCCACAGCTTTCGGTGCCAGCTCCCGTTGGGGTGGCAAAGCTCGGCACCAGTGAAGGGGATGGGCACCGAAAGGCCACGGGGGGAGCAGAGGCCAAAGCCTGCAGCACCCAGGGGCACCCAGGTGTCACCTGGAGCAGGTTGCGGGCCAGGCGAGTCTTCCCGGTGTACACCAGCACCAAGTGATCGCTGAGGGTCTGGGTAAAACTCTCAGGCACTGGGATCTTCTCCACCTCCACCCTGAGAGGCAGCTGGGCCTTCGATCTCCCGATTTTGATGCCAGGTACAAGCCCCCCAACCTGGTCCTGCCAACCACCGCCTGCAGGGCAGAGGATCCTCAGCCACCGCCGGACCCCACC